GCTGTCGCGCGAGTCCACCACCTGTTCGTTTTCTTGTCGCGCGCAGCCGATTCCTGTAATGGATTATCATCGTGACCTTGCTCAGCTTGCCCGCCCTCGCCATCAGACTTGCGTGTTCGTCCGTTTGTTCTACGAGCCCACCGCGGCAGCTGCGGGCAGGGCAAGCTTGAGCCTCGCCATGTCCATGCAGAGAAGCCGACCCTCGCGCGCGGGCACAGCGCCCCATCGGCCGCCAATGTCCTTCGGGGGAGCCCGCCTTGCGCAGTTACCCGCGCCCGGAGCCCGGCCGCGCCGCTCTCGATAGACGGCTTCCCCCGTGCCCCTCCAGCAGTTCATGATGGCGGCGAGCGTGCTGAAATAGCTCTTAGTAGACGTGTCTGTAATATCGCCGGCCCATGCGCCCCAGAAGTCCAGGTGGGCCTTGGCGCCGAGGTGGGTTTGATGCATCGGGCAGAGCATCCGCGCGAAGAAAACTGCAAGGCAACCGATGCAATCTGTTGAAGCAATCCTGGCAGCGGCGACCTGATGACCTCCAGCGTCTGCGCACGTTGCCCACGCTTCAATGTCAGGCATCCGACCTGCATCTAATACAAGAGACCCAGAAGCCATCAACCAAAACTTCTGCCACTCCAAGTGTCTCAGCAACTTCCCCTCTGAATCGACTAGGTCGAGGCCCCGCAATCACCTTCCTGGTGTGGATATCACACGTCGTCTTCCAAACAGAAATTCCAAAGGAACGGGCTTGCTTGTGCCGTAGCGCCCAAGCGTCGGGACCTGTGGAGCCCCCCACTACCATGAGGTCCGCAAACATCGCTATTTCCTCGAACTCGGGATCTACATAGTCGTCTCTGTGCAAGCTGTGCGAGCCGATGGCGAGCGTGGTCGCACATTCGCAGACGTGGAGCTCCTGCTTCTGCCGCGCGCTGGCGTTCGCGGCGCCCGCCCCGAGGCAATGAGCAGCTATCTTCTCAGCAGGGCCCCAGCCGACTGGATCGTCGGCTGTCGGGGCCGCGGTCTCGCGGATCAGCTGGCGCCCACTCCCCTGGGGGCAGCGTAGGCGTTGACCTCTGGGATCGCAAGCGCGCGCGTCCTCCTCATCCTCCACATCCCCCTCGCCCTCTCGCCCTGCTCGTCCTCCACCTGATCCCCCTCCTGCTGCTGCTGCTGCTGCTGCTCCTGCTGCTGTGATTCTCCTCCGCCTTCCCTTCTCCTCCCACCTCCACTCCCCCCCCCCCATCCCCCCCCCATCCCCCCCCCTTCCTCGTCCTCCTCTTCCCCCCTCTCCCTCGTCCTCGCCCCCCTGCGCCCTTCCCCCGCCTGGAAATTCCCCCCGCCGCGCCCGGCCCCCCCCCTCTGCCCCTGGGGCTCCGAGGGTGATTCGTCAGGAGGGCGGGCAGGGTGACGAGGCGAGACGACGATTCGGCTAAGACCCCCCGTCGAGTGATTGCACTGCCCGGAACATCAGCGCCCGCGCTGAGCCCGCACGCGACAGCAGCCACTCTGCTGTTCGACCGCCGCAGCGCGTTGAGAATGCCCCCCCCCTCGCGTAGAGAAGTATGCGAGCTGTTGCCCTTCTTCCAGAAAGACGAGACTTCCTTCGCTTGCCTCTGCGCCTGCCCAAGCTCTTGTGAAATCCGCGTTCTTTTCCTTCAGCCTCCGCGGCCTCTGCTCCAACGCCGCGTTCTGTCGCTTGACTTCGGCCAGCGGTGACTGAGCGATTGCTGGGGGGAGAGCAGGCCGCGGCCCTCGCAGTCGAAACCCCCTCTTCGTCCATCTCGCCCTCGCTCTCCCGGCGGGGGGCGGCAAGGGCGCTGGCGACAGGTCGGCTTGGCGCCGTGATTCCGCGGCTGCCGATGCAGGGGCCAGGGGGGCCGGGTCGGCGCCGCCCCCACTGCCGCTGCTGCCGGCGCCCGCGCGCGCCGCCAAGTCCGCCCCCGAGCGCCCCCGACGGCCGACGTCGATGATGATGCCCAACTGAACCAGCGCATTCGGCACGACGCCAACGCGGCAGCGCGCGTCGGATACCCTGTAGCTAGCGCGCCCGCGAGGCAGCGCGCGGCGGCCAAGTTGCCGCCCTCATGGAGACAGCAATTGGATCATCAAGAGTGCCGCGACGCTGCGCGTACAATTGTTGAGTTGTTGAGATGTCGCCCGTGTCGCGGCCGTCGGAATTGCCGCCGTCGCCGCCGATGTCGGCGTCGTCGTCGTCATCGTTGTCGTGGTCGGCAGCGTCGTCGTCGGCGAAGTCGGCGGTCTATCGGCGTCGACGCCGTCTTGCCATCGTCGCCGTCGCATCCGCCGCCGCCCCGCTCGGCGATCCCGCGGGCAGGGCGCGATCGAGGGCCCCCCGATGGTTGACCTCTCAGATGAGGACGTCGCCGCCGCCAGGGGCGCTCAGGCGGCTCGGCAGCAACGCCGCGAGACGCGGCAACATGGCGCGCGCCAGGGGCCCTCGCAAGGAAGACGGGCTAGGAGAGGCGGAGGAGAAAGGAAGGAGGAAGTTGGCAAGAGGAGGAGCGGGGAAGAAAATTATCCCAGTGCGACCCTACCCAGGAGTTGGAGCCCCTAGGAAACCAGCATTAGTAGTAACGGTAAAGCTAAGCTACAGCTAAGCTAAAGCTATGCTGAAGCTAAGCTAAAGCTAAGGTAAAGCTAAGCTACAGCTAAGCTACAGCTAAGGTACAGTTAAGCTACAGCTAAGCTACAGCTAAGCTACAGCTAAGCTAAAACTAAGTTAAAGCTGAACTAAAGATAAGCTAAAACTAAGCTGAAGCTAAGCTACAGCTAAGCTACAGCTAAGCTAAAGCGAAAGCTAAAGCTAAAGCTGAGCTAAAGCGAAAGCTAAAGCTTAGCTAAGGCTAAGCTGAAGCTAAGCTAAAGCTAGCTAACGCAAAAGGTTAAGATAAGCGAAAGCTAAAGCTAAAGCTAAAGCTAAAGCTGAAGCTAAAGCTAAAGCTAGGGGGCGCAACTGGGGGAACCGCGGGGCGGGGGCTGGGGGAACCGCCCGGGGCGGCCTGCACTGCCCGGCCCCTTTCAAGCAAACAAACTAAGAACCCTCTAGGCAGAGCCTAGGTAGGGAACAAAGGGAGGCATAATGAGGGGAATAATGGGGAGGGAAGGAGGGAGCGAAGGAGGCCCCCCTCTCCCCGTCTGGGGAAGCGCCTCGGCGCTTGCGTGATCCAAAAGGAGGCCGTAGCACGCCGTCGCAATCCCACTGAAGAGCAAACAACTCGAAGCACATGCCCCCCCTTCCCCAAGGCACCAATGATAAAATATCCGGCGTCGAGTGATTCTGGGGCTCGCAACCATAGATGCGTGAAAAAACACACGGTTTGCCAGGTGGATCGCGCACGCGCACATTACACTAAAAATAAATGCACGCACTCGCGCTCAGTCTTCTTTTTGGTGGCAAGCGTTGTACATTCTGTGGTTTCGATCCACTCACTGTTGCTTCGCTTCTTAGTGTGGTTCTAAGGATGGGAGAGGGCGAGAGGTTAAAGGAAAGTGCCTCTGCCCTTTCGGGCAGCAGCTCGGGGAAGTAGATCCTAATTCCAAGACTAGCCTCTAGACGCCTCCAAGAGGCCCGATATAAGTCCTGAGGAGCTCAAGACGGTCTCCAAGACGCCAGAGATACCCCCAAGAAACGTCAAGATGGCCTCAAGAAGCCACGAAGTCCTCAGCAGGCCCCAAGATGCCCCCAAGATGCCTCCTACAGACCGCGGGAGCCCTCCGCGCGCCACGCCCCCAAGGCATAGCAAACCATCTCGACGAGGCTTCCGGGACGCTCCCAAGAAATCCCCGGAGTCATCCAAGAGGCCTCTGACCTGCAACCCAGGCACGATGGCGGGAGGGGGCGAAGTCTACTATACCCGCAGCCCCCTTGTGTGTATCACAGGGGTGCTTGGCGTGCAAGGGTTTTTTCATGGTTTACTCCAGGTTTGAAATCAAAGTGCCTTCGGCCGATCCCACTGGCCAAAGACCTCCATGCCCGGAAACCATGGTTCTAAGACTGCCAAAATGGCCTCCAAGACGGGCTCAGGACGCCTCCAAGAGGCCCAAGATGGGCCCTGAGGAGCCCAAGATTGCTTCCCAGACGGCCAAAATGGCCCCAAGACGGCCCAACATGCCCTCCAGACGGCCCAAGAAGCCCCGAAGACGCCCCAAAGAGCGCTCCAAGAGGACCTCCAGGAAGCCCAAATCATTGATTAGCGTCCTCGCCTGTTCTGGTTTCCGACGCTCCACGACGGCCCCGGAGGCACCCAAGATTACTCCAAAACGGCCCAAGGGGCCCCCAAGAGGCCCGCAAGACGGCCAAAGAGGCCCCCACGACGACCCCACGGACCTTCGAGATGGTCCTAAAGCGCCCACGGATGGACCCAGGACTGCCTTGAGCGGCCCGCAAGACGGCCTCCGAAGGCCAAGAGGCGTCCAGAAACCCAGAAGAAACCCCTCAGAGGTCCTCGGTAGGCTTGCAGGAAGAAGCCCCCAGGAGGTCCTAAGAGGGCCTCAAGAGGACTCATCGTCCTCATCCTCCTTCTCCTCGTCCTCCGTCTCCTCCCTCTCCTCCTGTTTCCTCTTCCTCTCCCGAATGTTCCCCCCTGGGGTTCAATAGCGGATGGGGGAACGCACATTCCAAGAGCGTGGCCATACTCTGGCCCAACACTTCGGACGCATGCGGGTTTCCCGAGGAGCCCTCTTGAGCCCCCCCCTTCCCCACCACGCGAACCTCTGTACTGAGAGCAGGAGACAGGAGGCGCAGGCAGAGCAGCCAGACATCGACTTGGTCACTGACCTGACATGCGTAATATTGACACGTCTCGGACAGACGGAGCTGCCTGCGGCTACTGACGACCGGCTTGCGTGTATGATCCCCCCGTGTGCCTTGCCCCTGGTCGTCATCCAAGCACTGGCGCACGCGGGCAAGGAGATTGGACAGGCTCAACAGGAGAGCGGTCCACACCTGATTCTTCAAGAGAGGGCGAGAAAGCATATCGTGGAGCCTGCCAGCAGCGCGGCGTGCTTAGCAGTGGCGAGCACGTCATCCAAAGGGGGCGCCGCCATGGCAACTAGTGCAGCGTCACGAGGCCACGAGGCTGGGAGAAGTCCGCGATAAACGAACGAGGGACGAAGTGTGCATGCTGGAAATGCCCTGCCCATCTCTCCCCTCCTCCTGCCCCGCTCGTGGTCGTCAACGTGCAACGGCTTCATCCCCCTGTGTGGCCCCGCTTGTTCTGCAAACTGGTAGATGGGTGGCAGGGAGGCAAGCATGGACACGTCAGACAAAGCGGAATAACAAAGAAACGAATGACAATGCCAACACCATACAGAATGAGAGAGAGGGGGGGAAACATAGAAAACACAAAAAAGTGGGGAGACAAGTCAAGTGAGCTATGTCGGGCGAGTCAGAGGGCCCCACTCTCCCTTCCACAACACAAGGATGAACTGTGGCACATGTTGCTATTGGGATTGGAACGCGTTCCCACCTCGCAAACAAAAGGCGCTCGCGCGCGGCCCCGCTTCCGACGACTTGGCGAACGGACCACTACGCGGGCCGCGCAAGGTCAGAATCGGCAAAACTTCCGATGGGGGCGGCGACAACGAAATATGCGCCGCGCTGATGCAGCACGAAGGAAGTACCACGAAGGCCCCAAGAGTCATTGGAGAACGTTCCCCTTCCCCTTCCGTCTTTCTCTCTCTCTCTCTGTCTGTCTCGCTCTCTCTCTCTCTCTTGCCCTCTCCCTTCCCCGCATGAAACCACACACACACTCTCTCTCCATCTCCTCACTGTCTGCATCCTCCCCCCGTTGTTCCTATTCTTCCCTATCGCTCCTTCCCATTTTTATCCATCAGCGCATGCAATGGACACCCGAAAACAAAAACATGTTCATTGTCGCCACGCGGGCAATGCAACTCACACCCGCATCCTCGGACTTGCTCGACCCGCCACGACACACTTGGGCAACAACTTGCGACGGCCATTTCACGACGTGAAGAAGTCGGCGTTGGCTTCCGACGCCGTAGATCGATCAACCCTGAACGATCGTGGCTTCCCGTCAACGCGGGTCGTTTAATGCCAGCCTACTTCAGGCTGATCGCGGCGCTCAACATGGAACGCCCACGCCAGGGTTGCCGCCGTGTCGACACGATGCAGAAACTACAGTACCACTGCAGACTGATCTGCATTATGTAGACGCTTCCAAAGCGGGGTCCGAATAATGACTGGGGCCCGACGATCTCAGATCCATCGGCGATGCATTGGCGACACCAGCGTTGCACCTGCGACGTTGGCACGGACAGAATCGGGCTCCACATTAAACGGTATCGCCGATGCATCGGCGATGCGGCGCGATCCTCAGACCACATCCAATCCAGCCCCATTTTGGAAGGCTTACGCTACCGTACTGCTGCCGACTGACCAGACTACACGAACTTGATACAACCATCGTACTAGCATGAGGAGACTTTCATAAGGAACGAAAAAAAATTGTGGCCACGGCGAGCCTCGGCCACGAATACATTCCCCGACCCGGACATGAGGAACGGCCCGAAAACCACAGCTCCTCCTGAATTCAAGCCACTGTGGACTGACAAGCGCGGCTGATACGACGATGACACGTTCGAACCTTTCGCAGACACTTCCGCAAACGTGCGTTCATGCACGCCTGGGAAATCCTCTCACTTGCATGGTGATTGGATGAGTGATGGCGATGCTGATGGTGATGACGATGCAAACTATTATTGTGATGTTTAAGTCGATGATGGTGAAGATGATATGGTAATGGCGATGAGGCTTGGTGGTGGGGCTTGAGGCGGCCCACTGACGGTGATGAGGATGATGCCGAGATGGATCATGGAGATAGCAAGATGAGTGCTGGCGATGGGACAACAAGGGATGATGGCATGGAACGGGCACGCAAGACACACCGCCCAGGCACGCCAGACAAACCGACCATGCACACCAGACACATCTACAAGGCCGACCAGGCAGGCCAGGCACACCAACCAGGCACAACAGGCACACCGCGCAGGCACACCAAACACACCAGACACACTGCCCAGGCACACCAGGCACACTGCCCAGGCACACCATCACCATCACACCGACCAGGCGACCAGGCACACCAAGCACCCCGATCAGGCACATCAGTCACACCGACTGGGCACAAAAGGAACACCGACCAGGCACTCCAGACACAGGGCACAACAGGCACCCCGACACGGCACAACAAGCACACCGACCGGGCAAAAAAGGCAAACCGATTAAGCACCAGGCACGCTGGGCACACCGACCAGGCACACACCAAACGCACCCACCAAATACAACAAACACTCCCGCCAGGCACAACCAACAACAAACACGCCAGGCACACCAGGCACGCCGCATAATCACACCAGGCACAACCAGCACACCGACCAGGCACACCACACACACACACTAACCAAGCATACCAGGCAGAACCAGCACACCGACCAGGCACAACACAGGAGGCACACCGCCAAGACATACCATGCACACCAGGCACCCCGACCAGAAACGCCAGACACGATGACCAGGTAATTACACCAGACACGCCGCCCAGGCACACCAGACACGCCGCCCAGGCAGAACGGGCACACCAGTCACACCGACCAGTCACAACAGGCACAACACGCTCACCTACACGGCATAACGGGCGCACCGCCCAGGCACATCAAACACACCGCCGAAGCACACCAGGCACACCAACCAGGCACACCAGGCACACCGCCCAGACACACCAGACACACCGCCAAAGCACAACAAGCCCAACAGGCGCGCCGACCAGGCACACCTGACACACCGACCAGGCGCACCACGCACAACAGGCACTCCGCCCAGGCACATCGGCCACGCCGACCAGGCACAACAGGCGCAACAAACATAACAAGCAGGCCGACCAGGCGCAACAGGCATGCCACCCAGCCAGATTAGACGCACCGACCAGGCACAACAGGCCCAATAGGCACAGCAAGCACACCGACCATGCACAACAAGCACACCGCCTAGGCTCACCAGACACACCGGCTAGACACACCAGGCACAGTCGACACAACGGCCAGGCACAACGGCACAACAGGCACAACAGGCACGCCGCCCAGCACAACAGAAACGCCGACCATGCTTTTTTTTCACCAGCCGAGAGGAGCCCTTGGGCAAGAGACAGGGACGACGACGAAAATACGACGCGACGACGCGAAGGAAAGCGCGGGGGGGCGGAAGCAGGGGGTCGCGCGCCGCGCGCGCGCGCGCCTGGCCCTCAGGGGAACCCGAGGCCACGCAGAGCGGCCGCGCACCGCGCCCCACCGAGGCCGCAGCCGAGGCGAGCCATCTAGCCGCCTCCCACGCTGAACCGCGCTTTAGCCGTGGCCGACCTGGCCACGACCTGAAGGCGGTGTCGCCAAGCGCGTCCAGCTCGGCCTCAAACGCGCGGCGGACGGCGCCGAACTGGCCGCGCGTCGGAATGCCCAGAAGATGGGCGAAGGCGCGCGCCGCGCCCCACCCGCCGAGGGCGAATAACTCCCGGATGGAGCCTCGCTGCGCCTGCATGTCCTGGGGTTCCTCCTCGGTGGCTCCGCGTCTGCGCCGCCGGCCGCTGCCCGAAACCGAACCCGGCGTTTCCGGCCTTGGCGCGCGGCCTCGGCCGCCGGCGCCCAGCCAACATCCTCCGCCAGCCGCGCAAGCTCCCTCAGCGGGCGCGTCGTGGAAGGCCGTCCCGGTAGCGCCCGCCCACGGGTGGGCGCTGCGGGCGCCCCTTCCTGCGGGGGTGCTCGCCGCTGGCGACCGCCGCCATCACCCGCGCTGCCTCCGCCCGGCGGAAGCGCTGGCTCCAAGCCAGCGCACGTCGCGCCTGGCGCGTCGGCGCGGGTTGCTCCGACGGGAGAGCTCGCCGCGGGCCGCCCCGTTTGGCACAACAGGCACAGCAGGCACACCAAGAAGGCATAACACGTACGACAATGACACCGCCCACCGACATGGCACAACAGGCAGAAAGGGCACGCCGACCGGGCAAAAACATGCACAACAGGCACACCGCCCAGGCACACCAGGCACACCAGGCACACCGACCAGGCACAACGGGCATTACAGGCACACCGACCAGGCACAACATGCACACCGACCAGGCACAGCAGGCAAGCCGACCAGGCACAACAGGCACAACAGTCACACCGACCAGAAACAACAGGCACAACAGGCACAACGCAGAGGCAAAACAGGCACACCGACAATGCGCAACATGCACAACAGGCACAACAGGCACAACAGGCACACCGACCAGGCACAACAGGCACAACAGGCACACCGCCCAGGCACACCAGACACACCAATCAGGCACACCAGGCACGCCGACCAGGCAGGTCGCGCGCGCCAATCAGGCACAACAAGCACGCAGTCCAGGCACGACATGCACACCGACCATACACGCCAGGCACACAGCCCAGGCGCATCAGGCACACCGACCGGGCACACCAGGCACTCCTGCTGAACGCACCAGGCGTGCCGCCCAAGCACACGAGGCACGCCCACCAGGCACGCCAAACACACCAGGCGCGCGGCCCAGCGCGCCGACCAGGCACCAAGCGACCAGTCGGTCGGCGATCCCAACGGCGTGCAATATCCTAACCCGCGCAATCGGGCTCAGCACTGCGCCGAGGAAAAGAAGGCGGAGGAGGAGGAGGAAAAGGAAACGGATGCGCCCCGCCGGTGCTACGTATGTGATCGGCGGATTGTTCAGATGCTCGGTGTCACTTGGCTGCGAGCCTACGCTGCCGCTTGGCTGACAACCTCCGCTAGGTCCAAAGCGAAAGCCGTGACTGATGGCGGTAAAGATGGCTAGGTGGTAATAGTGGCGAGGATGAGGGGCGTGATGCAGCATGGGAGAGTGGGAGAGAGAGAGAGAGAGAGAACAACAAAGAAAGTAATGATGAAACGAGAGGGAGAAAAAAAGGGGGAGAGAGGAGAACAAGGGAACGGGGGCCTCGCTGAACGCACTCACTGCACACCAGCAAGGCTCTCGAGGGTCGTGCAAAACACCACAGGCGCGTAGTTTGAATGGGGTTGGGAGACCCAATCAACAGCTTCGCCTTAGGCGAAGCCCAGCTCCCGCTCCGTTGTACCGTAGTAACGATAGTCCCAGTAGTAGGGGGCAAGCCATC